TTCTTACTGGTCTGCACTGGTTCTTACTTCGGTCACCCCCACGGAGGGGCCCCAGGTGTCCATTGGGGGGTCCCAGGTGTCCATTGGAGGGTCCTCAGGTGTCCCAGGTGTGTTCCAGGTGTCCCGGCCGGTCCCCAGCTGTGTCAGGTGTCCCCAGGTGTTTACAGCAGATCCTTCAAGTGTCTGCTGGGGGTTCCCAGGTGTGTCCCCAGTGTCCCAGGTGTCCACGGAGGGACCCCAGGTGTCCATTGGGGGGTCCCAGGTGTGTCCCCAGGTGTCCACTGGGGGTTCCCAGGTGTCCCTCGGGGGTTCTCAGGTGTCCCCCAGCTGTCCCAGGTGTCCCCCAGCTGTCCCAGGTGCCCCCAGGTGTCCATTGGAGAGTCCTAGGTGTCCCCAGGTGTCCCCGGGGCTCAGCAGCGGCGGGCGGAGCCGGGGTAGCGCTGGCGCAGGCGCCGGCGGAAGGCGCGGAAGCGGCGCCGGTTCTGGCCCAGCTCGGCCTCGCGGCTGCGGTGGAACCGGCCCGGCTCCTTCAGCCCCCGGTGCGTGACGAAGGCCCCGTCCAGCACCGCGAAGCGGAACCCGGCCACGTGCAGCTCGCAGGCCTGGGGGCGCGGAGGGGTCCCTGTGAGACCCTGGAGACCCCCCAGAACAACCCCAGAGCAACCCCAGAGACCCCCCCACAAAATCCCCAGACCCCAGAGCACCCCACGGCCCCCAAGACCACCCCAAGTCCCCCAAGACCACCCCAAGGACAGCACGACCACCATGACCACCCCATGGCCCCCAAGACCACCCCAAGGCCACCATGACCACCATGACCACCCCACAACCACCCCATGGCCACCCCACGACCCCCAGACCACCCCACAGCCGTCATGACCACCCCACGGCCCCTAAGACCACCCCAAGGCCACCAGGGTCACCCCACGCCCCCCAGACCCCGTCAGACCTGGCTGATGCGGTTGAAGCCGTACTGGAGGAAGCCCTCGTCGAAGGGGGGCACGCCGTGGGCAGGGGCCACAAAGAACGGCTCCCAGGGGTCCCTCCAGGCCGCCTCGTAGGCCACGCGCAGCCGGGGTCCCGCGGGCAGCGCCCGCCAGCGGCCGAAGTCGGTGGGGGCCTGGCAGCGCGGGCACAGCGCGGCGTAGAACGGGCGCGCCTCGCCCGCCGCCCACAGCCGCAGCAGCTCCGCCTTGGAGCCCGGCGGCCGCCGCCGCGCCCGCACCTCGAAGGCCGGCAGCACGAAGAGAGCCCGGGCCCAGGGCGGCTCCGCGGCGTGGGGGTCATTCAGAGCATTGGGGTCACTCAGGGAGTGGGGGTCACTCAGGGAGTGGGGGCCACTCAGGGCGTGGGGGTCAATCAGAGCATTGGGGTGGCCTGGGATATTGGGGTCACTCAGGCCATGGGGGTCATTCAGAGCATTGGGGTCACTCAGGGCGTGGGGGTCATTCAGGGTTTTGGGGTCACTCTGGCCGTGGGGGTCACTCAGAGCATTGGGGTCACTCTGGCCATGGGGGCCACTCAGGGCGTGGGGGTCACTCAGGGTTTTGGGGTCACTCTGGCCGTGGGGGTCACTCAGGGCGTTGAGGGGGCCTGGGACATTGGGGTCACTCAGAGCATGGGGGTTACTCAGAGTTTTGGGGTCACTCAGGGTGTGGGGGTCAATCAGGGCATTGGGGCCACTCAGGGCATGGGGGTCACTCAGGGTTTTGGGGTCACTCAGGGTGTGGGGGTCAATCAGGGCATTGGGGTGGCCTGGGATATTGGGGTCACTCAGGGCGTGGGGGTCACTGAGGGTTTTGGGGTCACTCAGAGCATTGGGGTCACTCAGGCCACCAGGAGCCCCCAAAGCTCTGGGGTTCCCCTGTCCCCCCCAGTTCTGGGGGTCCATCCCCCCCTGTCCCCCCCA